TCAATTATACGTACGAGTAGATTCCAAAAATCATGTAATTTTAAGCAATAGTTTGAGAATGCTATGGTAAATTGGTCAACTAATTTCCAACTACCGTTAACATTTCAAAAGCTACTTGTCTTTTTCCAGGAACTTTTAAGTAAGCAGCTATGACAATTTCAATTCATGCTCCAAGTCAGCTGTTACATGGTAAATATTTCTACAAGATTTCCAAAAGGAAGAATAGTTCACAGCAATACAGGGGGAAAAAAAAGTTTATTCAGCTTGAAATGTACATCAAGATTTTGCAAGCAATAGTGACTGATTCCAAACAGACCATTGTACAAACACCATCTAAAACACAGAAATAGCCTGAAGCTGAGAGTCACGTTGGAACAAGTGTTGCAGGATGAAATATGAAAACGTCAAGCAAAGGGGTTTTCAGGAACTGTAACATAACTTAAGAAGCAGTATCAACTCTAAAAAGGCAGAGGATTAATCCTGGATGGAGCCAGAAGACAAAAGCAAAAGTAAATGCCAAGATTTAAAGGCAATTTAAAATCAGAAGGATTAAAATAATCTAAAAATGGCAACAGAGGCAGGTTGTATGCATGCACAGGCAAATTGTCTTCTGAACAAATTGGCAGCGCTATAGGCATAATTCCCATGAAAAGACCTATGATATACGAGTGCTAAAGACACGCCTTCCTTAGCTACAGCAATACTGAGAACTGAATAATCCTGATCATAAAACATTCAGAAGGGATAGAGTCATCGAAAGTAGAAACAACAATAAGCCCTTCCTTATGTTTGAATCAATGTATTGAAAAGATATTGAAATAGCTGAATCTGGGGGCGGCACAGTGGCTCAGTGGTTAGCACTGCTGCCTCACAGCACCAGGGACCCAGGTTCAATTCCAACCTTGGGTGACTGTGTGGAGTTTGCACATTCTCCCAGTGTCTGCATGGGTTTCCTCCGGGTGCTCCGGGTTCCTCGCACAGTCCAAAGATGTGCGGGTTAGGTGGATTGGCCATGCTAAATTGCCCGTAGCGTTCAGGGGTGTTTCGGTTAAGTGGATTAGACATGGGAAAGTTAGGGGTAGGGGAATTGGTCAGGGTGGGATGCTCTTCAGAGGGGCGGTGTGGACTTGTTGGGCCGAATGGCCTGTTTCCACACTAAGATTTCTATGATATCTATTTGAGTTATGGTAAATATAAAGAGGGGAAACTCACAGTTACAGGATGACAGTGCAGTAAACTGAGGGGATCAATACATTGTCAATTTCTAAAAAAAAAGACAACAACTGAGGTATGAAAATGGATTATTTTAATTAACGGAAGATGAATTGTGCTGAATGGAATAAAATGCAAGTGATTAACAAAGGTAAGTATGTCTACAAAGTATTCCCCACCAGCGCAGTGAGCCAAATTGGTGCTGAATCATGGGTAATTCTGTTATGGATACATTTCCAGAGAAAATTGGTCAAATGCATCCAAACATCTAAAATTTAATCAGCAAGACAATTAAAAAAAAAGTTCACTCCCATCAATTTCCAGGCCAGAGACTGAAGTGCAAAAATCTAGACTGAGGATCCAGTGCAGAACTAACAGCATGCAGTCCTGTAAATGTGTTGTCCTTTGCATGAAGTGCTAAACCAAGACCAAATTTACATGCACAGGCAGATAGAAAACATCCCATAGTATTACTTTTGAAAAAAGCTTGAGTGATCCACTTAGGTAATGATCAATATTTATCCTTCAAATAGCATATCTTAAAAAAAAAATGTAACTAGTTGTGTCCTTAGTGCTATTTGTTGGATCTGGCTTTGTGCAAATGGTTTTGTTATGCTTCTAAAACAAAAATACAAGTAGATCATTGCCAAAAAAAGAACATTGTGATGTCCAGAGATCATGACAGATGCTTTGCAAATGTGCTTTTTTTTTGTTTGAGCTTAATATAACAAATAAAAGTCTGCTACATCACAAAAGAAATATCCTTGTCGTTCTTCAGGATGACACTAACATTAATTGACCAACCATGACTTACTCAAATGTTGGATTGCCACGAAATAGTCTGTCTGGTTCATTTTCACTGGTGCACTTCCCAAGCAGACTCAGCATCTTTTAACCATCAGTTTGACTTTACAACCCAACATTTTAGGTGTACACTAGCTCCACCTGGGAAGATCCCTTAGCCATGTTTAACGGAGACCATGGATTTCTAAAATTCTGCAGGCAAGCCAATGTATTCCACTGAGACAATGTCTTCTGTAGGGCAACATGTTGGTTGAAATGCACGGACACGCATCATACAGCTTTAGTAACATTCAGTCCAACAACTGCTGACTTCACATGCAGAGTAGTAAACTATCAATGCTTAGCCAGTAACATGACTTTGTTATTTGATGAAATGATCAGCTCCAGCTTGAGAATACTTTTGTCATACTAATCAACTATAATTTCAATCATTTGTAGACTATGCTTTCCATTGTACAGGGAAGTGAAAAAAATCTCCAACGCTGACCAATCCCCAGATCAATGCCAGTTAGTTAATTGTAAAATCAGGGTTTTGAGAACTCTCATGGGAGAGATTCCCTGACAACTATCACTGGCTGGGCTCAAAATGACACAAGGCCATTTCAACATTGTGGGCATTTATACACATGGACCCTACCTACTGTGCAGTGAGTTATTGCTCTACGAGCACTTTTAGAAAGCAGAGTCTTGAGTGGATCTAATCCCTTGCTTAAGGGAAGGACAACATTTATTTTGGGTCACGCAATAAAAAACTTCCAAACATTGCAGATGGCACAAAGAAGCAATTTAGTTAATTAATTGAGATAAAACAGTTTCAACTAGAACTGCATTACAATTTTTTTTTTTAAAACAAGATTTAAGTATGCAAAATGTACCTTAAATTCAAAAATCCAAATAATCCCATGTTTACATGTGCACAGCCGCAAATGGTCAATAGATACAATAGGACAGCAGCTCACCACAGCTCGCCTTTTTCTTTGTTGGGAGAAAACAACTAGATTCTGCTTAACTGCTCACTAAATTAGTGCAGGTGAATTCAGAATTCTAAGGACAAAAGGTCTGGAAGAAAAACTGAAGAATCACATGTACATGTTTACACACTTGTGCTTTAGCACCAACTGATAGAGGAATCAGAATATCTTCAAAGAATACACAGATAACACAGATAGAACCGTAACAGCAGCTCATGCAATTCAGCGCAAGAAAGTAACAATATGGTGACTTTTGAACAGATTCGCCCTCATCTCAAACTTCAAATAGAAAACCAGGCACATTAGAACTTAAAAGAATGTTAAAGGTAACAGGTGGAAAGATGTGTTTAAATTCTCCAATACTTGTGTTTTACAAACACCACAATAACACCCTTGTACTGCTTATTATACGTAGGGTTCATATTGTCATATTCAAGTGAATAAGAACAAAAGTTAAACAGGCATATTCTCAGAATACAAGGTACTGAAATTTTTGTTAAAGGAACTTTGCAAAGTATCAATTAATCTTAAAGGCTAACTGATCAGATACACATTTCTAGGATTTTGCTTTTAAACATCCAGTTTCATTGAAATTCTTAACCATGCATGCAAAAACAAAAAACTAGGACTAATCAGTGATAGTGGGAACTGCAGATGCTGGAGAATCTGAGATAACACGGTGTA